CCCAGTTCACTAACGATTTCCCTTTGTCGCGGTCTTGTAAAAAAAGAATCTGAAAAAAATTCTGAGTCCATTTCGCCCGCTTCAGAATTAATCGACTAATTACGCATTCTTTTTATCACGTTTGTCGTAATAGATTCTAATATTCACGAAATGTAGGAGCGCGTCGCATTTTTTTTCCCCCCCCGCCATTACGTTAAAAACCGATACAACGACAGCGAGATTTGAACGGCGCAATCGGCTTGATCTGGAGAGCAGGCAAGTAGCTAACTACGGGAAATATATTTCCCTTTTCCTCTCTTTCCCTCCCTCTGCTACCTTCTGCATTTCCCCGATTTTTCCGATATTCGCTTTGCTCTGTCATAAACAACGAAAATATTGGCTCCGTGGTAATAAATGCGCGAAGCATAAATTGGGAACCGCCGTCTCATGTCTCAATTCTGCGTATAAATGTTAAGGTGAAATTTTCGAAAAGCTAATTTACGCGATATTTGTTATTTTACAAAATTTGTCAAGCGTAAAGTGTCCCGTGAAATATGCACTTTTCAGTCTCACTGAAATTCAACGAATCGACAGCTTTCCTGAATATTATTTAATGCCAAAAAATGTTTCGATGGCAAAAACGAGATCTGTTATAAATCTTTTAGAGTAAGCTTAATCTTGTTTCTAGTTTAGTTTACATAGTTTTAGTTTAGTTTGGAGCTCAGCTGATTTTATTTTAGTCCGATTCCTGCCGCCTCTCTCTCTCTTTCTCTCTCGAATTTTACGAGACTCGTCTTGTTTTATAAAATAATATTATTCCATGGTATTTCGAATAGTCTATGCCGATCCTGTCATAATTCGAACTATGGTGTTATGATTGCGCTTCAAAATTTAGGAGAGGAAGTTATCTTATTACTTCGAGCTACGCCAGTCAATGTAATTTGTCTGTAGAATTTATAGATTAACATGAACTTTATATTTTGACTAATTTGGATTAACCAACATCGAGCTGTTAAATTCCGCAAATTACGAGCCCGTTAATTATACGGGGTTACAGCTAAAAATCATTCGCGCGTCACCGAACGTGAACGTATCATATCACCAACGGGAGATAAGTTATAACGCCGGTAAAGGCGCCAGATAAGGCGCCATCGTTGATTGGATCACCGCGAGGAATCGATATCCTTCCTCCTCTTCCTCCTCGTCCCACTTCCGCTCTCTTTGCCTCTCTCTCTCTCACTCACTTCCGCGCACCTACGTACAGTTTACCTTCGAACACGTTCCCTCTTCTCTCCCCCTTCGCCCCCCTGGGCCATGGGTGCCGTGGGTGCCGTAGCTGCCTCCAATTTCTCCGTGACGGTCTCATGGAGGATTCTCGAGTGCCCTCTCATCGCCCTCCGGGCCATCCAACCGAGCTCTGTCCGGCAGTCTCCATGCCAACACCCGCTCGATAAATTTATTGGTCGCCTCTGACACGACTGCCACCGAGTTGTGTCTCTTTCGCGTTCGCCAGCGAGCGTTCGCAGCTCGGCGTGTCTGGCCAGATACGCGAAAGATAAGCGAATCGAGCCGTCCACGCCGAGATACTCCGGGCGTGAAAACGGACCAACTGCGAAATGTGCAGTCTCGCAGACGCAGCCGTTTCGGAAAAATATTAAAATCAATGCCGCGCAAAGTAATCGCCGTCCGTTCGTTCCCGAATAAACAACAGTACTCGTACCCGATCGGATTCGAGCATTCCTGATATTAAAAGTGATCGCCAACCGTGACTGACGATCGAAAAAATCCGACTCCCCCTGTAAAATGGTAAATAAATTAGGAGCACGATCGCGAGAGTCAACACGTTACCCGTACGCCGGCCGCCCCTTCTCTCGATGCTCCCCCATAAATGTGCGTCGATTACGAGGGTGCATGGGTGTACGTGTATGTCTATCTGCATACACGCATAATACATTCCGGGGTTACGTACGCACACAGCGCCGGACGAAACGAGAGAAAGAAAAAGAGAGAGCGGAGGAACCGCGGAATTTGGAGAACGTGGAGACTGCGAGGGGCGCGACTGTTTTTTGATCTCGATGTTATTTGCAATGTGCTTGCGAAAATTCTAATAAAATCCCCCCGAAACAATCATTTCTCACGTTGCACGTACATTAGGTAATGTACATTTACATTACGCGCATGTACATTAGGTAATTATTTTAAATTACAATAACGTACCAAATTTCGGCACTATTTTAGCGAACTGCATACGTGACTATTAGAATATTTCTATGTTTCTTATGAACGGGAGATACGGCAAAATATTTCAGAGTTCTTCGTGATTGAGCCCTGAAAGTTTTACGGTTCTATAAAAATTGCCCTGCGATTTATCAGGGATTCACAGAGTAAGAAACAGATCGCGCAGAACGTGTACGTGCGTGTTGCGCGTTACGACGTGCGAATTGATTACTGAATTCGAAAACGGAGACGGGACGATTTGCGTAACGAGAGATGGAAAAGCCGAGGGAACAAAGTCGGGGGAAAAGAGGAGCCGTGTGAATCGACGACCGTGGAGAACTTCGAGTAGGGGTAAGAATACTTGCAGAGAGACGGAACGGAAAACCGTTCGAGGGCGGCCGAAGGAGAGAGGAAGCGATAAGGAGGAGGAATTAGTTGGAGAGAAGTAAAGCAGAAAGGAACAGTAGAGAAGAGAAACGGGGAAGAGAGCACGGACGATCGAGTTACCAACACACTCTCGATACGTTTATTAACGCACGTCGCCCGGACGGGGGGGATTCGCTGGCACAGCATCAGGATCAGCTGTGTGCGGCAGGCACCCAAGCAGAGGGTCAAGTGTTCCTCCTTCTCTGATCTTCCCTCTTTTTGTCTCGCTCTCCCCTGCACCCCGTGCTCTGTCCTGCCCTCACTCCCCCTCGCTTGCCATCCTCGAATGCTTCGCGTCGCGACGGCGAAGGTAAAAACGTTCGGTGCAGAAATGCTCGCGCTTGCAAAACCGCGTCGCATCGCTAAACCGAATCGACGAAACTCCCAAAATCGTTGAAAATTCCGTAACGACACGTAGACGCGTCAAGTGCCCACCTCACTTGTACCTGTGTACGTTGTAATTTCAAGATGTAAAGGGCTCATTTAATCTTTACGATTTTACAATTGGAGAAGGTACTTCGTTGTTCAACGGAGACACCAAGTTTTAACAACCATTCTCGGAGGTGCAAATATAAAGTTTGTTTAAATGTCGTGCAACATGTTGTTAACATGCGTAATATTTCTACTTGAAAGAAAGGTACGTGCAGGATGACTCTATGACCCCATAACTGAGCTGACTCCTAGCTGCCTTTCTAAGTCAAGAAAAAAGTAAGCCAGAGAAGTATTTATCGCGACGATATTATGCAATGTACGCCTGTAAGATACGCGCGTTGAATAATTGCACGAATATAGCAGTAGCCGAGCACTTGAAGTGAGCACGCTATTTGCCATTTAGAGCCATTTTACCTAAATAGACACAAAATCCGTATTGGGATCCAAATGCAAAGGACATGATAATTGCGCGTATTTCCGCTTTAACGGACGCCTGCAGTAAAGCGTTCGTTAAATGTAGATAGAATCGGTCACATAGAAACGAACGGGAACGAGTGGTTTCTCCGTCCGTCTCTTTCGTGCCACCGCGGGACTCGTCCAGTCATCGATATCGAAACGGCAATTGGAAAGCTCTGCTGAATACTCACGAGCCGGTTGGAAATCGGAGCTTTTCCGCACTCGAGTTTCGGTTTCGCTGATTCCCAAAGCTCATCGAGGCGTAGATTGAATTGTTTCGACAAACGGCCGAACATTTAGCAGATACGATTTTGAAATTGTTACCGTCGGGTTGTCATCTATCGAAATAAACATGCGCCTGTAGGATGCTTTGGTCAACGTAATTTCAATATCGGTTTCGCTCTAAAATTGACATGTGATTTTCGCAAACGAGTGAAATCAATAAATTTGCAGCCGCGGAGTAAATAACGCGGCTAAAGAATACGGTAACACTTTACGCGGCCTCCACTAGTTCTCTGTACCTTTACGAAATAAAAAAATGTTTTTCATACGCTACAGATCAATTAAATACCGTTTTACGGAGTATTACGAAATTAGTTGACGATCGTCAACGAGACGTCACATTACATTTCTCGTGTCTTTCTGTAGCTTTTTTAACCAATATTTTTTTAGCTTCTCACAAATTTAATAAAGCTGAATTCTTGAAAGTGCTTTATTTCTAATCATGGACAATTTAGAGAGAGCTGGCGCTGCGACTTTCTCGTTAAAAAAAACTTGTGACCGTTGAAATTCTTCAAGATGTAATCGTGGAGTAATTAAAAATATATCCCGGCATTTTAATAAATAAATAAACAAACACTTAAAAGAGAGCAGGCATGTCCATGCCGAGAAACATTTTTCTTGGAGCAAATAAAAAAAAACATACAAGGAGGAAGGGGAGGAGAAGAGAGGAAATAAAGAGGAAGCGAAGAGAAACCTCGCGAATCGTTGGGAATAAATGCTGCTTGGGTTCTCGTCTCGTCTCATTTCGTTTCATTCCGTTTCGTCTCGTCGACCGGCTCGTCGAGGCGCTAGAAGAGCCGCCTTCGAGAGCCTCCATTACCGCCGCCGACTGGAAGGCGACCGGAAGTGGGGATGGAAGAAATAAGAAAGTGAAGATCCCCCATGGATTCGTCTTCGCGGCGCAAAAGCATGCATGAATACTCGTACGGAAGAACGGAGGAAAACCGCGTAAGGAGGAAACAAAGCCAAAGACGGAGGCGGTGACGGTGGCGAAGACGAAGTTAAGGACGATGGCGGAGGACCAGGCTGAAGGCGCAGGCGAAGAAGAAAAATCCGAGATCGTGAAATAAGAGGGTGGTTCTCGAGCAGGGGGCGGGGGGCAGGCGATGCGTCGAGAAGCGCGGCGGAAAAATTACTGCCTGCCTGACTAACTGGCTTCATAGAGGAAAAAGCCTTTTTATATTTTGCGCATACGCATCGCGAGCACGCGGTGGCCTCAAAGGCGCGCCTTCAACCACGGGTTCCATCGATCCTCCCCCTTCCTCTTCGTCTTCTCCCGCTCCGCGCCCCGCAAGAGTGGTGGGCGGAACAAAGCCACCGGAAATCGCCCGAGTGGTACTTTGGCCTGGCGGTGGCGCCATCTTGTACCATTGGGTGCTGAGTTTTATGGGGGAGAAACGTGTACGCATTGTTCTTGCAGCCAGGTAGTTCGTAGATGCGGGCTCTCTCCCTTCGTCCCTCTTCCATCACCCCTTTTACTTTCTTCTTAACGTTCTAAATGTGTGTATGCGTGCAAGCCTCGCTGCTTGGATTTTGAGAAAAACGGATTGAAATTAGCGCGTTGATTATTACGTATTATACAAGCCAAGTAATTATCGCAATTGCAGCATCGTCAATGATGCCTTCGATAAATCAAGCGTGGTGTTTTTATGACGCTGCCGACAATTGCCCTTAAATCGATTGAGATAACCGATTGCGTCGATTGGCCCCGCGTTTGAGCCACGTTTCGCCAACAAAACATTTTCACCGAACTCCGTCTCTGCTGACTAGAGATCATTTTCTTTCTCTACATGTTAAACATATTTGAGAAACTGAAGCTCGATAAATCATAAGCAGTAAAATCATTACGATCGAACGTAGTTTGATCTTTACGTTCTTGTTTCGTTGGGTAAAGCACAAATTCGTGGTTAAAAAATTATGATTCAATAATTTGTTCATCATGTGATGGGAAATTTACAAATTTCATTTTGTCCACGTCTTCCATCGATAAGATATGCTTGTGCAATAAAAGGAGGACAAGGTGGAGAGAAAGAGGAGAGCGTTTATGTAGCCTACGCCTTTTACTTACACATGTTGTACAATATTTACCTACACCCACCATAAGCATATAAGATCGGAAGAGAATTGCTTTCATAGGAATAATGTGTACATAAAAGGAAAAAGTTGGCGATTTCTAAAGAAGAACGGAGGTCAAGGTTTAGTCCACCTCCCTTTTCCCCTGCGTGCACTCTATTAATTGTTGACAATAATTACGCGTTCTTGACGCAACTAATGGCGGCATTTATTAAAGGATTCTAATTCGGGTAAATTTTCATTTCCGCTCGACTATCAAAATCACTGTATTCATAATGTCAAGACAGATTGGTACTTGGTCGAAAATAATTCATGTAGGAAGAAATTAATCACAATTCGGAAATTGTTTTATAAAAATAGGAATATAATGCTCTCTTGTTTAGACTTTTCGTATTAATTCACAATTAATCAGTTTGTATCGCATTCGCTTGCTACAACACTAACCAGAAAATACCGCTCCTATTTGGGACATGCGCTTTAATCGTCATTTCTGCATCAAAAGCGATGTCAAGTGTTGAGCACGTTACTCGTTTATTTACTTCAAATATATCTGAAGAAAAAATTTTAAACAGTACATGCGCACGGTGTGACGAAAAACGTGTCGAAAAATCAAGCATTGTAATTTTTCTCATTGTATCCAACAATAAGCCACTTGGGACTTTTATTTCGCGTACCCAAACATTTCTCTTCTCGATCCCATCGAGAAATCGTGAAACAAAAATATCGCTTTATTTATAAAAAAAAAGATAACTTGTAAACCTGAAGTGGAAATCATAGAATAAAGCTAGCTCGCGTTAGAGGAAACGACACGTAAAGGCAGGTCCGTCCGTTGGAGAATCGAGAGATAAGGGGGTAGAGACTCGCGAATGCCATTTATGAGTTCGATATGGACAAAAGATGCAGCCAAGGGGGAAAGCGTGGCTATATATTGTGGCAGGTCGAACGTGGTGGACGGGAAAGTGTAATTTCAGTTTGAAACAGGAACGGGAGAGGCCGACCCACATCGAGGTTTTGAGTGTTTGTACTGCTGACGCGGCAATCCAATCCAATCCAATACCCATAGCGAGTAGGTACCTACTCTGTAGCACGTATACGTACATATGAACGAATCGTCTTTCTTTCTCGGGCCTGATACCTTTCCGTCTAACTTCCAATACAATTTCGAGCTCCCCCGGCTCGAACCGGCGGAAGTTCCGTCTCGTAATTGGACGCGCGCCATTTTCCCCGTTTCTAATGATTCTCGAGCCGCTCAGCTGTGCCGATGATTTGTTTTGGGCAAACGTCGATCTTACTGTCCGTTTACTAATTATGTTTAGCTACTTGACACATAGAGAAATAATCTCCCACCGATTTCGGTCGAATCGCGAATTCTGCGGTATATCGCGTAATTATATTTAGCGCATCAATAGAAGTTCTTCGATTCTCAATCTCTCGTACAATATATCTCGAGAGGAAAAATACTTTCTATATTTCAACACCTCTGAAACATTATAACAGGATCCTCTCTCTCTCTTTCGCAAAAGTAAATTGTCCTCAAATTATCGTTATATTTTACGTTCTTAGTCGTTCTGCACTCGCGGTACATTTTCATTACACATAACTGTACATTAATATGAAAATATTGCGGAATTGTTGAGGATGTAAAATTGTTTAAATCGTGTAAATGGAGTTCGGAGAACGTGCCGTACGCCGAAGGTCTAATTAACTACCTATCTGAGCACGTGGTTACGTACGAATTTGGTTCGCGATTGAAGGGTTGAAACGAGTCGAGCAACGCACGAGCCGGCAGCCGCGCGGTGCGCGTTATTATCATAAACGCAACAATAACGAGGGATGATCCGACGTGTAAACTGTTAAACCCTCCTTCCTTTCCCCTATCGGAGGCTGTGGGTGAGGATTACCGTTGGGGGTCGGAATCGTTGGGCGCGGGCCGCCTGGGATCTACGGGGGATGTTATTGTTGCCGCGAAAGAATGAGAGGAAACGCCGGGGTGGAAGAGAAAGGGTAGACACAGTCTCCCTTTCTCTCTGTCTCCCTTTCTCTCGCATAGACACCACGGTGCGAGTCTATAAACTGGTATTCAAACGCGCGTGAGATCGCCCCTTCGGTCTTCGATGATATCGGCGGTGTTTGCCGACTCCTATTACGAGCTCGATTGCACCAAACTATACGATTATCGTGCGTCAGTGATAGCCTTTGTACGCACGGCCGCTGAATCCCGGGGGTTAAAGAGTTACGCCACTTCGCGCGAATGCTGCTGGCATCGAAGTACGTAGGTACGGTGACAAAGCGACGCGGAGCACCGAGCAGAAATCACCGGACAATACAGAGTATTCCTCGCCGAGCGACGTCTCCTTCGAACCGCGAGTTCTCTCCGGTCAATTGTTGCGTCGGTTTCCTCGCGACAGCACCGAAGGTGATTGTCATCTTCCGATTTTACGCCCCAGGCCTCGTGTAATCGAGGCCCAGCTTAAAGTTCTGCCGGAGCGAGGCTCTTACTCGTTAGATATTAATTAACTGAAGAATGTACGCGCGGCGTGCGCGCAATCAATTCAATTAAAATCGACTCCCAGCCGTAGCGACACATCAAACAAACGCGACGCTTCCTCGTACTCCGGATTCCCCCCCCGGGCGCAACCATAAAGCCAGCGGCCGTCTCGTAATTCGAACGCTCGAGGGCTATGAATATTCAAACGCGGGAAGTCGCGGATCCGCGCGGCGACGCGCTCGTTTTGTCCTTTTGTCAGCGGCGATCATTACGTCTCGCTGTACCAATTTTTCTATCGGCTCTGTAGCGAGAGAGAAGCGCGCGCGCGGGAAAACCTGACGTTTCGAGGACGGCAATATTGAAAATGTTTAAATCGAAAACGATAAGCACTGACGCGCATAACCCGCTCTCTGCCCTCGCCCCGGAGTGCGCTTTCGAAAATCCCTTATTAACGACGGGTTCGGTAGCGCTATTATGACGTTTCACGGCGCGGACGAGTGCTTATCCAGTGACGTTACCGAGTCCTACGCACGCTGCATATTATTTGGGAACTAGGGACACGCGCCGGCACGCTCCCATTCATCTAGGCGGCTATATTGCGCCCGCCCGACCCCCGCCATCCCCCGCGTGCCCCCGTATTAATTATTGAGAATAACTGCGCGCTCGCGACGCAACTAATTCACGGCAATATTTAGTAAGGGATTGAATTCCAAGCCGGATATACTTTTCGGCCGCTTATTGCCGCACGGCTCTTTCTATGTGCGTAAACAGAGGGAAGTCCCTCATTATGAGATAGGCTTCTAATACGAGATAGCGGGTCTTGCAACATCCAGTGTCGCAAATTGCTGTTCGCGACAGTTACCGCGCACGATCTGACTATGTGCCGTCCACCGATTTCACTCCAAGGGCAATGAATTTATGAAGGAGCCAACAGATGATGCCTATTGATTTAGCGGAAACCCCGCTAGCTCATAACAGGGAAACTCTGTACGTATGTGGACCTGCCTCTTGCGTAACTAACGTGCCCGCGTACATTTGTTTCCAGGTTACCGAAGCGAGTACCAATCGGGATCGGGATACGGTTACAATAGCGCCAGCTCGAGTCACATGCGTGGACCATGGACATCCGGGTATGGTATGCGCCAGTCGAATTACCCGCCCTCGGATTATCAACATCATCGCAGTCATTACGATAATCATCGCCAGCAATCGTCACGGAACACCGGCAGTTATCAGAACGCGCAGCACGGCTACTACGGTCAACGAGGGGTATGTCTTTTTTTCTTTATCATATCTTTATCGCGTCCTAACACGAGCTGTCGAAAGGACTACTCTTGAAGACCAGATAACATTCTCGCTAAATTAAATAAAGAGCTTCGCATCAGTGCGGATCGGCAAATTGAAATTAACGCGTGACAAAATCGAGGAGAGCGTGGAAGAGATCGAAGTTGGTCTCTACCGTCGTTTCGTCCAATCTAAACTGTCTTTCAATATTTTTCTAATCTTGTCGCCAATTAAATGCGACTCTGACATGAAACGACTAAAGGAACTTAAAGGAAGTTTGGAAGTTGTATCACGGAATAAAGAAAACCGTAGCAGAGCACTAAAATAGGACGATGGGCTTTAGTCGAGATTTTGCTTACCTCATGTTATAGAATTACTCATCGACTCGAGGGGGAGGTGGAGGTGGAGGTGGAGGAGGCCACCGAGATGCATGGCGACGATAGACGTTCGAGTAAGTGGTCGATTAATTGTCGCGCATCATATAATAGTTAAGAAATTCTGCAAAGAAGTAATAATTGTGTCTAGTTAGGATTTAAGGATCATTGTCAAAGTACGCGTTCTAAGAGGATGCGTTAATTCGCAAACGAGGCAGGTCGGAGTGCTTGGTGCAACAAACGCGCAATCGGTGTTAGGGCGGCGTCACATGGAGCGCAACTTGCGTAAGCGTAACCTGCGTATCGCCAATCACAGAACCGTTTTGACGGAATCATTGAAACGGCTCTATCAGAATGACCCTGTGACTGGTCGTGGAGTTACGCCGTACGCACGATACGCGCCATGAGACCCTTGGTATTTGAGCACTGCGTTTCTTAAGTACTACATTCCGAATGCTGTAGCACGTGTCTTTCTTAACGCGATTATGAGATATCAGCTTTTTTTATGGCTAATTTTATGAAGGACGTATCGAAAAAATATCGTCTAAATACGTGCGCAGCATGTTTCAAATCACGAGGTTTCTGATTAGAAATTTCGAATTGTAAATTCGTTGACTTGAATGAAGTTTTCTGCGAGGTTTGTAGTAGCGACTGTCATCATTGATTTTTTGAGATAACACGATAACGGAATGACAATTTTGTTAAGGCAGGACCTGTTCCAGCTCACTGGAAAAGGAGAAATTTTAGTGTCCACGCAATATCTGTACGTTTCCTATTGAATTTTCGCTCTGAAACATTCCAATTTATCGGAAAATTCGTAACCGAGAGGAAAACTTGATATAGCGTATGCATTTGCTACACTTGTCAGAAACGATCTATGTTGTGAAAGAAAATTCATATCGCGGAGTCACATTATATAAGAAAAAAAAACGCAAGCGCAATTTATGCAACAGTCAATCTAGTACTTTCAAAAATCACAGATTAAATTGTGCATTGTACATTTGATCGTGATTCTTTTACTATTTACGTTCTGTTCTTTTTTTATTGCTATAATCTCATTAATAAAATAAATGGTGCATTGGATAATAATGGCATTGTACATCTTTCCGATACACATACGCTTGTCAAATCACTAGCTTTGTTCTCGCGTTTATAGAGGTACCATAAAGGACTAGATAGTCCTTGGAGTTAACTTAAGCGGAAAGTTTTTCGTCGCTTCTTTAATCAGGTTGAATCTTCACGGAAAAAAACATTTAGCTGCTGTAGCTAAAACTTAGTAAAATATGGACAGCTAATATTTTTAGCAAACGGTTTGCTGTCGTAGCAAAATATTGAGCTATCACAACTAAAAATATTAGCTGTCCATATTTTACTAAGTTTTAGCTACAGCAGCTAAATGTTTTTTTCCGTGTTTATTATCATCTACAGTTATGGATTATAGGATTCTCATATCATTGTCTAACGATTAGAACGGGTACGTTGACGTACGTATAATTTGTGGATTGTATATTAATGGCTAACAGTGAGGTTTTGGTTGAATTAGGTATGTAAGTGTCGCCGCATTGAATTTCGCGTACGAAATTCCGTGCCGTGATGGGATGTAGCGATATATCGATGTGTCACCGAATGGCCGAACCGGCATTTGGAATTTCTCACTCTGTATTGAAATACACAATATTTCCTTAATGAAAGCAGCTGTCCGGTGATTATTACACTTGCCCGTAAATTCCTACGCTTCCTCCCACATTCCTCGAGGTCGCTGCGTTCTGACGCCAATCCTCAGCAGGCAGACGCATTTACAATATTTCTGACGTTATACTTGAATATTTTAATCCTTTTCAGCGAGGCTCTTTCCGGTTAATTAGTGACTTGGATCGATACATTTTTCGCGGATTATAAATCATCGGAAGGATAAAGACGCGTCTCTCCGCACTCGATGTTATCGCGGTTCCGTTATTGTCCCTTTGATGAAATAAAACTCTATCTGCATCGAGATCTACCCTACCCTACGCTAGTGGTTGCGGTCGCTTATCAGGTACGCCGCTCTCTCGATTTCTCTCACCATAGTCCGAAGCTCTCTGAGCGCAGCGGGGCTTGCATCCCCTTGCGTCCTTGTTCAATATAAGTCCACGCAATGAAGTCGCTGCGCGAATTCGATTCGAAAGGAGATAAGAAAGAGCGTTAGGAACGGCTCTACATATCTCGGAAGTGATTTTTAAACTTTCGTAAAATCTTAAAATTGTACTAATCAGAATTCTCCAACGTGGCCAGCGGTAATTAACAACGTCAGTGTTTTCTTGACCATACCTGGCGTCTTTAATAATACATACTTTAGTTCCGCGTATAATATACGGAAATTTGAGCGAGACTCTGCGGAAAAGCTTCCTTCACGAAGAAGCGGGAAGCTGTCGGTTAGAACCGCGCGAGAAAATAACATCCCGGTTCCGACGACGATACTCGCGAATTTCAATGATGCGCGCAACGAACGACAAGGTACGAAGAAAAGGAGACGGAGTAAAGGAACTTCGGTGTGCGTGGCTTAGAAGGCGGCCGGTCGGGCGGTTGAATCGCGAAGTAAGAAGGCAGTGAGGACTCTTGGGCCGCACATGGAAAAAGAAGGTCCAGGTGCGCCCTCGCCTCACGCGATCGCGTATGACCGCACATCGAAGTCCTCTTCTACCTTTTGTCTCTTTCTCTCCTCGCGTTCCCTCCGCACTTTTCCCCACCTCTCGCCCTCTTCGCGTTCCCGTCTCATTTCATATACGCGCTCGCGAGGAATACGCACGAGAAGCGCGCCTGTGCCGACGTAACGTAAAAACGCACTCGTGCACGGACGCGAGGCATCTAAAGCCTGAAGAACGAAGGAGGGGGGAGCTTGCTTCAAGAGCCCGTTGCGCGAAATGGATGGTGGATGTAAATGCCAAGTAGCCAAGTGCACGCCGCCTGTGGCTTTCTTCTACCTTCCCGTTCCCTCTAGCCGAGAATAACGCTGCCACCGTTTAATAAGCAGGCATTGCCCGAGAATCGTTTGTAAGACGGCATGCGAGACCGCGCGGAAAGATCAAGCAGCTGCCGATAATTCTTTTTATTTTTCCTCTCTCTCTCTTTTTTTCTTGCTTTTTAAGTGGCACGTTGCAGCGTCGCGACGAGATCCTTCTCGGTTCTCTCCGGGGCTCGATTACGCTTCGTCTTCTGAAGGCACGACTCGCATCGTCTTCCGAAGAATTTCTTCTACCGCGGTCTCCCACACCGATCGAGCACAAATCACTCCCACAGTCTGTTTTTTTTTCTCTGTACTTTGAGATTGACATCTAATACGAAAGCGTCACCGCGCGTGTTCTGTTAACTAATACCGTCGATCGCCCACCACGTCCGCCAGCTCGGAAATATTCCCCGCAATTTGAAACGCACTCGAAAACACGAGCGATTTTAATTAATGTCGCGACGAGGAGAACCGAGATTTTCGATTTTGATTTTGCTCATACCGCGCGTAAAGCGAATCAAGATGAGCGGGAGGGAGGGACACTCGCTGTTGGAAAGACACGCCAGTGTTCTAAACAGAATCGGCGAACGAAACGAGAGGGACGTTACACGCGATATTTAATATCGCTGTCGACGTTAATGCGACCGTCGGATAATGCGGCGCTCGGGAGGACGAGCAGCGCCGAGGAAACCGGTGGGTGGTCGGTCCGCATGACGGGTCACGGAAAGGTGAGTGAGCCCCTTCGTGAGCGCATCTCGTTACCGGCGACGAACCGGGGACGGGCTCCAAGCACCGCGATGACGCAGCACCAGCTCCTGGTTACCTCTGTCCATTGTTCTCCCCGCATTTCTTCTCAGCTCGTGTTCAAGTGCTCGAGAGCTCAATCGCTACCCACCCTCGAAGCCCGGATCCCTCAGCGTCGTACTTTTAAACGTTACCCCCGCGCGCGTACCGTATACAAATGTCGGCTTCTATTCGATTTCCCGCACAAAGCGGCCGGTTTAGCACAGTCACCGCGACAGATTCGTCAGGTTCGTTCTCCCGCCTCGAAATTTTTCGTACTAATATTGTCGGTTATTATATCGACGGAATTGAAAGCGAGCCAGGTAGATAAAGGGTGGCGTGCAACAGAGAACGCGAAAAAATGATCGTTACGAAAGTAACGATCCTGCCAGTCAGTGCCTTACGGTAATATTGTTTAAAGTTTGACGAGTAACAGCTCTCTCTCTCTTTCTTTCTCTCTCCCTCTGAATTAATTTGCAGTCAAATTCAGATTTTATTGGACAGAAACTCAATTTTCACAGTATTTTCATTTATCTAGATTTTCAATCATATCGACACGCGCGCAGATTTCATTAAAATAATGTAATCAATGGCGTATTTTTAATCACTAGCTACGTTTATTAAATATAGTCACGAGATGTCACAAAAATTAAATAATAAATATTGGATTTATTCGCGGGACATATTCATCCGAGAAAATTCTGATTCGAAACGTGAATGACACGATCGTTATACAAATACGGAACTGTCACATTCGCACCTTTTGATTTAGAGAGAAAAAAACGCTCGTCCGTCAAATCGACACGAACGGCGGACAACAAATGCGAGCTCTGGTCATCTGCGTTATTCACGCAGTCGCGTAGTCCAGCGATATCTTAAAAAATAATGTACAATACCTCGTCAAAAGGTGTCCACCCCATAGCTGCTCCGTCACCATCGCCCAGTCTCTTCCTACGACGCCTCCTCCTCGTCTCAGAGTTCCTTGTATTCGCACAACACCACACACACTCGCGGAAATATGGTTAATTACGGTTATCGACGCGAATTGTCACAATATAACAATCACTTTTCGTGGCACTCTTTCGCGTACACTTATTTTATTACGATGGGATCACAGGAGAAAGTGCGATTGTGTCGAAGATGCTGCGATCCGTCTGATATTTGCAACGTCTTACAAGTTCGATCAACGACTTTCAAACCGCGAAAGGTTTCAACGAACCACCGACACAAAAACGTTGTTGACGCGAGAAGCACGGATGTATTATAAAAACGAGTTTGCACTGCGTGCTCGTCAAATACCGAAGTAAGGAGTTAGTACTTTTCCAAATTAAACGAATCGCGATGCTGTTCGTCGCGGAATCAAATCGAGAAATATTTAGTACGTTGAACGATCGGTTTATCGCAACACTGAGAACAATTTTTATCGGCTAAACCTATTAAATAGTGTTTCCGATGGTTAATTTTTCCGATTAAATTATGGATACATCCGATGAAATTTATCCGATGAAATTTGATCGAAGAACCGATCATATTTTTCATCGGATATACAATTTAATTGGATATATCCGTTTGTATTGTGTAATTGGATTATATTTAATCGGACATTTTTCTCAGTGAACGTTTCGTCGATTTATTTAATCCGTGTATCACACCGCGATTCGTATATTATTCCGCGTTATGGAGCCCGAAATGCCGAGCAAATTCTATTTGAAGCGACGAAAAATCGCGTCGCGAGACGCGTATAAGTTCGAGCGTTATTATGGAATTTATCGCAGACTAGCCCGAGACGATGAGTAGCCTTTTATTATTTTATTATTATCACTTCCAAATGAATAAATCGCGCGAGGTGTCTGTCCCGGTAAGTGAACCGTCGCCACGCCGTTATGCTTAGAAATCTGTGATTACCGCGCGGGCTGACAATGAGAATCGTGTATCGTAACGATTGTAAGACGCTACAACGTATCGCGCTAATAGTTGTCGCGATCGCGTCTCAGGAGATAATGCGAAGATACGCGGAGCGTCGCGCGCCCCCACCCTCCCAGTCGAGTGTCCCAAGGTGAATGATAGCGCGTCGAACTTGTCTATTGACAACAGTCACGCGCCGAACACAACCGCGGCCGCACGCCTCACGTACACACGCACACACGCACACAGCTACAGTGTCGAAATAAGTAAAGCGTAAACAACTTGTCCGTTAGTTTTCAATTATCCTTCGACGAGTGAGGTCTCATTTTCGCTTTCTCTTTCGTGAATAACTCGCCTGTATCTTACAGTTAGATATCTTAATTACGACATAGTTGGCGCAATTAAAGATTAACGGGCGATCATCCGCGACTTATAGCAGACATCTCGTACGATTTATTCTTTTAAAAGTATACGTACGGAATGAGAGTTACATATTGTTGTCTCGCGATAAAGAGTAATAAGTATCTTTCAACTCGTGCTTTTGTTTGAATATGTACTCTCGGAAAGTCAATCAGTGGATTATCACTGCAAACACTGAATATTCACTGATTCACAGTTGTAACGCGCCGATTGACTTTTGCCGAGTATCACATCGCGCTTCGAATTTCTCACGGGTTTTAAATGTAATTCGTTTATCATTTTCACAACTGAGGCTATTAAAATGTACATTAAAAATCTCTCGAGGACGGAAGTTACGTCTTCCGCTTTTAATAAAGAAATTAAATAATAATCGGAACTGCATGATTATCGCGTTCTAATAATTGACGCGTGTGCGAGTGCAATTAATCTTTTTTCGCGAGTGTTGTGACAGAAGAAGGAACTCGAGAGGAGGAGGGGATCTGAGAGGCAACCGTCAGTAATTTATTCTTTATAACTCGCGGTATTAATTGTTTCTAATTGTGACGGCGCCGTCATTTTGCATCATAGACGTAAACAGAACTGCGCATGTCAAATAATCAT